GCGTGTCGCGCCGCCAGTTCTGGCCCACCGCGCGTCGGCGCGACGCGCCAACCATAGGGGAACCAAGAATGACATAGACATGAAAACTCGGAGGTCCGCGCGGATTTCTCGGATCGGCTCTCGACCCCCTTCCCTGGCGAGCAGAGCGCGCGAGGGGCGGCGCCGGAGGCGCCGCCGGGCCCCAGCGCGGATCCGAGAAATCCGCGCGGACCTCTGATTTTTTGTGTTTATGCCATTCTTCGCTCCCCTGAAGCATGCTCCGGCCCTTCACCGGCGCCAGGCGTCCACACGTCCCGATCCTTTCCCAGCCTCCCGCCCCTTACGAAGCGGAGCGGCAAGCCGTCCGCCTGCAGGGCGTGGCGCGTCGTGGGAGCTGCCGCCGCGACGCGCGGAGGCAAATGCCCCCGACCGCGAAGTCCCCCTGTACCCCCCCAGACCTGCGATGGCTGGTTGGTTGGGTGATCATTTTCTTGTTCATTGTGTTGCCGATCGGCGCGGGTCCTCGCACCCCCTCCCCCCCCATGGAGTAGATTTTGGCTGTTTTTGGCGCCTGTTTCGGCGCTTGTTTCAAGCAGGTGGGGTGAGCACGGGGGCCCCGCCTCCCCGTAGGATTCCCCGTGGGAGCACTGCTCCAAACAGTCGCACGAAGCAGAGGTCCAGAGCCAGACCCCCCCCCCACTTCCCTTCCCCGCTTTCCGCGCAATGTCGAAACGCCGAATACGAAAACGTTCACCAGGGCCATTGTTTTGCATCGCCTTCTCGGCATCAGTGCCACAACGTGGAGGCCCTCGATGTTGTGGCGCTGATGCTTCGCCTCCCCATCCACTCGAGAGGGGGCGAGGCATCTGTATACAATAGCATGTTGCTCGAACTTGCTGAGCGAGCAAAGTTACAGCCGAGCAAAACAGTGTCGTCGCTGGAGCGTGCGTCTCCAGGACCGGCGAAGGTCCCGGGAGGCCGCAAATGGCAAACACTGTCCGTCGAGATTTTTGTCGTCGCGCGAGGGTGTCAGGGGTCAAATCCTCCCTCTCCCACTCACCCACCCCTTCCTGGTCGATCCGGGGGGAGCCTGAAGGCTGAAGGCATGGACGCCAGGCTGAAGGTCGCGCGCTAACATGAATGATGGACCTGTGGATCTGGCGGGGGTGCCAGATCCACGGATCGGGGAAGGCACGTAGTTACCTCCAGAAGCGTGAGGCAAGTTCCGCCCGATTCGGCGATGCAGCGCGCCGATTCCCGACGGAAGCCGGACCCGCCGCCAGTCCACGCGTCGCTGATCCATGATTACGTTTTCTCGAAGAGGCCAGGCTGCGCCGCGCAGGCTCCAATTTGTTCCATGCGTTGGCCCCCAGAGGTCTGCACGACTTCCCTAGGACCGCGTCTTCGTCCTGAGTCGTTGTTTGACGGTGCACGCAGAGCCGACAACCCCACGCGGGTCACTCTGGGCCTACCCCTGGGGCTTACTCTTGCGCCTACCCCAGGCCTGCTCCTCAGGCCTTCCCCTGGGCCTACCCGTAGGCCAAATCCCTAGACGGCCCCCTGCCCCTGATGCTCTCCTTCCGCCTACCCCAGGCCCTGGGCCCGTCGAGAGACCCCGGCGGAAGATGCCTCGGCAATGCATTGGCGATGCGGCGCGATCCTCCGACCCCACTGTTTGGACGCCTGCGTTCCAGTGGTCCCGCCGCTCGGCCACGGCTGGCCAGGAAGCTCGGCCACCTCCCCGCCAGGGGGGACAGCTGCGCACCGCTACTGCTCCTGCTCGCCCTCCTCTCAAGGGAGCAAAAAACCGGACCCGATCATCGGCGCTTACTTAACGGCCCTGGGCGTTTACTAAACAGCCCTGCCCTGTTCGATTCCTTCTTTGAGTGCGTTTACTGAACGGCCTCGCTTGTCGGTGTGGTTATTACGGTTTTTTTTTCCCCCCCCTATCCTCGTCCTCCAGGCCTCCTCCCGCTCTGCCATGACACCAAGACGGGCGGTTCTGGGCAGCTCTCGGCCTCCAGGGGCCCTCGCGTGGCCCCCGGGGCTGTCAAGAGCGGCTCGGGATGAACAACGTGTCCCAAGGAAACGGTCCAGACCTCCTGGGGCCCGCGCTGCGACAAAGCCACCACGTCGCATGTCTGGGCACGTCTTGGCCTCCTCCCCCCCCTCTCTCTCTCGGGGGCAAGGTGCACCGACACCCTCGCGCACATAGCCTCGCTGATCTACTACTTGTTCGACAACCTGCTATGGGCTGGGAGCGGGGCAGAGGCATCCGCAGAAAGGAGGAGAAGGCGCCGGCGCAGGAGTGAGGGGTGGCCCCGGCAACGCACACTGATAGCAGCAAGGGTGAAGAGGCGGGTCGAGGAGCAGGAGGTAGGCAGGAGGTCGGCTAGTGAAGAGGCGGGTCGAGGAGTAGGAGGTCGGCGAGGAGTAGCAGACGCAGCCGGGACGGGTGAGAGCACGGCCATGTGCAGCTTGGTGTATCTGTGACAAGGGGTCGTGGCCGTCCAGAGCAAACATGTAGCCGCCATGGAGGCGAGAGCACGACTTCTGAATCAGCTGTGAGGGCGTCTCAGGCGAAACGGCTACCGCACCCGGGGGTTCAGGGCTCTTCGTCCCCCCCAGTCATGTGGGACTCTTCTGTGCTTGTTTTTGACCACGACTCCAGAACCCTCCAGCGAAACGCCCTTGGGGAAAGAGGGAGGGCGAGGGGGGATCAGCAGCAGCAGCAGCAGGGGCACCGCCACGAGCAAGGAGGCGCAGCATAAGCAGCGAGCGAGCGAGCGGACGACTGGGAGAAGAGAAGGCGAGGGAGCAGCAGCGGGGGTCCGTGGCCAGGGCGCCAACCACACGGAAGGAGGCTCAGCATCAGGAGCGGCAGCGGCGCTGGCAGGAGGAGCCTGGGCTTGCAGCAGGGAGGCTTTTTGTTGGCAGGGGGTGGAACGCTGCTCTCGCTTTAGTGCTGGCCACATCCGTGATTGCGAACGTCACTCTCGCCTCAGCGCCAGCCACATCCACGACTGTGACGGCTGCTGACGCCTCAACGCCAGCCATATCCACGATTGCGAACGTTGTTCTCGCCTCAACGCTGGTCACATCCATGATTGCGAGTGTTGCTGCCGCCTTGGCGCCGGCAATATCCGCGATTGCGAGTGTTGCTCTCGCCTCAGCGCCAGCCACATCCATGATTGCGGAATTTGTTCTCGCATCAGCGCAGGCCACATTCTTCATTGGAAACGAAGAGGGATTATTGATACGGTTGGCATGTTTGCATAGCATGTTGCTGTGCCGCCCTATTATGGTGCATCATTTGCTACAGCGCGCGCGTGACACACTGGTGTCGCCGAGCCGTTGGTCACGTAAGCTCTAGTGGGTCAGGTTAGCTTTGGCGCAGTGTCGACAGGGCCTGGGTCAGGTTAGTTAGCTTAGGGATCTGCGACGTTAAGGGTGTGTATCCGCCTGGGCTCACCCAGCCCCAGACACTTGCCCGCAGCCATGGTCGTCCGTGCGTCCGTTCTCTCGGGCGTTCCCTTCATCATCGGCATCGCTCCGACGTGCGCATTTGTTCTAGGCGAGGACCATCGAGGAGCATCCTGGATCATCTCGCGAAGAAGTAGACGCACGGAACTGAAAAGTGCAAGGGGGATGGACATCCGAGCGATGGCGAGTCATCGTCCCCTCCAAACTCAGTCTCCGCCTTCCGACCCCACACCGCGGCCCCTCCGCTCTCTCTCTCTCTCTCTCTCTCTCGCCCCTCCCCCTCCCGCCCGCCTGTACCCCTGCCCTCCAACCTCCGCCTCCGCCCCTTCCTCTCCAAACCTCGGCCCCAGCCGCTCCCTCTCTCTCTCTCTGCCGCCCCCTCCCCCTCCCGCCCCCCCTCCCTTTTCTCCTCCAGCCTCTGCCTCCGCCTCCGCCCCTCCCACTCCACACCTCAGCCCCTCCGCTCTCTCTCTCTCTCTCTCTCTTTCTCTTTCTCTCTTTCTCTGTCTCTCTCTCTCTCTCTCTCTCTCTCTCTCTCTTTGTTTATATATATATGTATATATGTCTTTCTCTCGCTCTGTTATATACATATGTATACATACATACATACATATATACATACATGCATGCATGCATGCATGCATACACACATACGTACACACATACATACATACATACATACATACATACATACATACATACATACATACATACATACATACACACACATACATACATACATACATGCATACATACATACATACATACATACGTACACACATACATACATACATACATACATACATACATACATACATACATACATACATACATACATATACATACATATACATACATATACATACATATACATACATATACATACATACATACATACATAACTATATACATATATACATACATACATACATACATACATACATACATACATACATACATACATACACACACATACATACATACATACATACATACATACATACATACATACATATGTACGTACGCACACACATACATACATACATGCATGCATGCATGCATGCATGCATACATGCATACATGTATACATGCAGACCTACCTACCTACCTACCTACCTACCTACCTACCTACCTACCTACACATACATACATACATACATACATACATACATACATACATACATACACATATATACATACATACATACATACATACATACATACATACATACATACATACATACCTACATACATACATACATACATACATGCATACATGTTCGTTGAGTGTTCGTTGAGTGTTCGTTTCGCAGCAGGGGCAGAACGAATACAGAACGAAGGGAAACAATAACAAAGCGAAAACGACAAACATTGATCAGCTCGAGCCCTGCTTCATCCGTCCTTCCCCCCCTCCCCGCCCCCCTCCGATCTCGGCCTCCACCCCTCCTGCGACCCCCTCTGGGATGCATCTGCAGGCCTGTCCGCTCTCGAGAGACAGTGAGCCCGCGGGCCAGCCCAGCCGGGGGCGCCAGCCCGCGATGGTGGCGGGGCTGGCGCCACTGCGGGCCATGTGCCGCAGGCTGCAGGACTCGGGTGCTGCCAACCGGAGGAGGAAAAGGGTACCCATACCGCTAGACCCTTCCCCCGCTTTCCTCTCGTTCGGCCTCCTGGGGGGCCTTCGTCGCCACCGCTGGATTCGCCTCGAAATCCTGGTCTGAGCACAGCTCAGGAGAGGTCCAGGGAGTAGCGGTATCGCTACCTCTCGGTCTCCCCAGCCAAGGGTGTGTCACTGACAGGTTCCGTCTCGATCCGATCGGTCCCGTTCGATGTCGGTGTCGGGCGGCCCGATCCGATCCGATGTCTCTGCATGGCGACGATGCGATGGGGCACGATCTCTCGTTTGGCGTCGTCGAGCACCCTGGGTCGGCCGATCCGATTCGATTCTGGCTCCGTGCCGATGCGGCCCGACTCGATGTACAGTCCGATCCGAGGTCTCCGATTTTCCGATTCGATGTTGATTGATCTTGCCCTGGCCCAAGCAGTCCTCAGGATTCCCAGGGAGGCCCGGAGGGCTTCCAGATCACCCCTTGCAAGGCCCCGAGGGCCCCCCTGGGCTCCCCCCACAAAAAAAAAGAGCCAGAGAGAGAGAGAGAAAGCGAGTCGTACACGTCCAAGGTGCACTGGCCAGGGAAATCCGTGGCACTCGGACACATGCTGGTGCTCCAAAGCGCAAGCGCTTGGCTGCGGAACTCCATGCCACGTGCGCGGGTCCTTGCCAGAGTCTTGCCAGGATTCCCAGAGAGGAACAAGAAGCGCTTGCTTATAGGCTCACTAAACAATTGATTTAGAATTTCTTGTGGCACGACATGTTATTATAACAGTTATGACTGAGACTGCGCTGTTATAACACATCTGGCTTATGCTATAAGAAAACTGTTGCTGTGATAAGAACAGTTTTGGGTTCTAAGACATTGCGAGGTAGGCCTATAGGAATGCCGGGACGCTCGGTCCCTGCTCAACCTCTTCTGCTTTTCTGATGCGTCCTCTGGTTTCCCCTCCTCATCCGCGCACATGCCTCGGGCTGTGGTCTGCGAGCGCCACTGCAGACGTATTGAAGCATTGTGCGTCCATTCCCCATACGATCCGACCGATCATTCGTACAACGGTTTGCACCTGGCTCGTGATGCGATGCGCACGCGAGGAGGAGGAAAAGGAGGAGGAGACGGACGAGGAGGAGGAGGAGGAGGAGGAGGAGGAGGAGGAGGAGGAGGAGGAGAGGACGAGGAGAGAGGAGAGAGGAGGAGGAGGAGGAGGAGGAGGAGGAGGAGGAGGAGGAGGAGGAGGAGGAGGAGGACGAGGACGAGGAGGGGGAGGAGGAGGAGGAGGAGGAGGAGGAGGGAGGAGGAGGAGGAGGAGGGGAGGAGGAGGAGGAGAGGAGGAGCAGCAGGAGGAGGAGGAGGTGGAGGAGGAGGAGGAGGAGGAGGAGGAGGAGAGAGGAGGAGGAGGTGGAGGAGGAGGAGGAGGGGGAGGAGGAGGAGGGGGAGGAGAAGGAGGAGGAGGAGGAGGAGGAGGAGGTGGAGGAGGAGGAGGAGGAGGGAGGGGGAGGAGGAGGAGGAGGAGGAGGAGGCCCCCCCTCGTGGACGCTCCGAGAGTCGTGTCGTCGTAGCCCTGGGGCGTCACCCCTGGCAGCTCCCCCGGAGGACGGGCTCGCGCAGGCGGCGGCGAGGAGCGGCCCGCCACTCTCACGACTGCTGGGCCGGGGGCAGTCCAGGGACAGCCCACCCCAAAGGGGGCATCACGAGGTGCGTGAAGAGGGGTGCCTCCTCTTCCTCCTTCTCCTCCTCCTCCTCGTCCTCTTCCTCCTCCTACTCCTCCTCATCCTCGCCCTCCTCCTCTCTCCTCGTCCTCCTCTCTCCTCCTCCTCGTCCTCTTCCTCCTCCTACTCCTCCTCGTCCTCCTCCTCCTCCTCCTCCTCCCTCCTCCTCTCTCCTCCTCTCTCCTCCTCCTCCTCCCTCCTCCTCCTCCTCCTCCGTAGCCATTTTGGCTCAAGGTCCCATGTTCCTCAGTGGAACAAGTGGATACCGCTAGTCCGCGGCGGCCTCCGCTGGTCGCCAGTCCCATGCTGGTCGCACAAGGTGGGCGAGGATCTTTAGGCATCTCACGGAGCTCGTGGCGCCTGGCCTTAGCCACTTCCACGTAGGCACGCGCACTGGCTCCCGCATCGACAGGTGCTTCGCGGCGACGCCCCCATGGCTTCTTTGCCAGCTCTCGCAATGCGCTCGGCACCGTGGTGAACCTCAAGAGTTCCATGACGCGCTCCTCTCCGACCACGTCCCGCTGGAGGTCTCATGGCAGTCGCGGCGATGGGATTCCAATGGCGAGCCGCGCTCTCGGAAGATCCCTCGGAGCATCTTCAGCGATCCCCTCTACATGCCGATCCTCGTGGAGTACGAGAAGATTGCTGGCATCGGCGAGTTCGACACGTTCGCGTGCTCCTCTGCGGCGAACCTCCACCTCTCGGCGCCGACGGAGCTGGAGTTGGCGACACGATGTCGGCAGGCTGCTGCGCGGGCCGTCCGCGATCTGCAGCTGCGTGATCGCCCCAGGATTCGTGAGAGCCGCTCCATGCTTCTGCGCTCTCTTGCTCGGGCTGTCTGGCGTCAGGGTTCTCGCTTGGGTAACATCCTTTGGCAAAGGCATCCCTGGCTCCGTTCCTTCTTCTCGGTGGACCCGTCGTCTTCGTCTATCGTCCCCACCTCCCCTGATGCCTTTACCAGTGCGCATTCCGATTTGCAGCTCCAGGAGGCCCAGGCCGAAACCGAGCGGCTCCCAATCGGAGGCGGTATGTGGCGGGAGTTGTGGAGGGCGGTTTCGACGGGGCTGCCTCGACTGTTCACGCTTCTGCCGAGGGCCAGACTGCGGCCCTCAGGGCCTACTGGAGCCCGATCTTTGAAAAGCAGCAGGAAGCCCCGCGCTGGGGTCAGCGCTACCTCTCTAAGTTTGCCTCTGAGCAGGACTTGTCCCAACTCTGTCCCCCCTCGCTCGCCTCGATCCCGCGTTTTATTCGACGTGTTTCGCACGCGGAAGCTGGCCCTGATAGGTTTGCGTACGCCGCTTGGGGATTCGGACAAGGCCCCCTGGTCCTTTTTTAAACGCGTTCCACTGGCTGGCGAGCGGCCAACGTATGCATCTCGACTTTTATGCATGTCTGCAGGTTTTCATTCCGAAGGGGGTCCTCGATGGCGGTGGCGAGCGCTCTGGAGGGGTTGTTCGCCACGGGAAGGACACCCGCCCCATCGGTTTGAACAAACACGAGCAACAAGATCGTTGCTGGGGTCGCCAATTCGGGTCTGTCTGAGGTGGTGAAAACGCTTGGCGCCCCCGCGCAGCGAGGCTTCATTCGAGGCCGCAACTTGTTTACCAAACGTGTATGAGCTCGACGCACATGCAAGGCTCATCAGCGCACGTGGGCTACCAGAGGGGGCCATTTTGGCCTTCGACTTTTGCCCAAGCATTTCCATCGGTCAGCCAGCCCTGGCTGATGCGTGCGCTGCGACAGGTCAAACTTCCTCGCGGGTGCTCGCTCGCGATTCAAGGCTTCTATCATCTCAATCCCTGTCTCTTCTCTGTCCGAGGTTTCCTTCTTCTTCTTCTCTTCGTGATCTCAGGCGTGCTTCAAGGCTGTCCTCTCAGCGGCAGCCTTTTTGTCATTGCGAATGATGGCTTTCTTCGGAACATGTATCGCAGTGTGCAGAGACCAGGTCACGGCCAGATTCGGGCCTGTGCGGACGACATCGGCGCCGTTCTCCCATCTCGGAAAGGCTATCGTGAGTCTGCCCGTATCTTTCGTTTTGCTGAACATCTTGCGGGGCTCACTCTTAAAGCCGAGAAATTCCGCGTCGTCCCGCTCTGTGCTGCCCTCTCCGATAGTCTCGCCAGCGACCTTCGCCAGCTCCTCCGTGAATGCACATGCGCCCGTCCTGAAGCCACCATCCCACCGAGCTCGGCCTGCTGGGAGGAATCCGAAATCGCTTCCGAGGTTCTGTACTTGGGGTTTTGGCTTGGACCTGGGGTCGACTCTCTGCGCAACCTTCGAGCTCCTCTCAACAAGGTGGCCACTCGGACAAGAGCGATCGCGGATGCGAGGCAGGATCTTTCGACGAGGGCTTCTCTTTACAGCCAGCGGGCGCTCAGTGTGCCCTCATATGTTCTGCAGTTGGTCCCGATCCCTTGGGAGGCTGCTAGAATCGAGCGGCAGTTTCTGGCCCAAGTCTTCAAGTGGCCGATGTCGGCCGCGCGTTACTCTGGCTGGTTTAACCTCTGCACTTGGAGCGGCCCGCGAGCGCGGTCGCTCTACATCGCTGCCGCCGCCGCTGCCACGCGCACCGCTCTTGTCACGCCCCCGCATTGGCCATCAACTCTCCGCGTGCTAAGGGACGCCCGGGAGCGGCCCACGCCTCGGCGCGCGGGGGGCGGGCGGAGGGCCGGGCGGAGGCCGTCGGGGCCGGGGAAGCTGGAGGAACCAGCCGGAATGGCGACGACGGCCGGAACAAAACGACGACGGCGATCATTTTCTCGCATTCCGGGTCCCATTCTTCCGATTGTGGCTCCTTTCTGTTTCTCCCATTCCGGCTGCACGTAAGAGTGACCTCTCGCCGGAGGGGCCTCTGGCGCGGGCCCAGTGGGGGCACCCGATCGCTGAATGCGGTGCGATGGCAGCAGCCTGCGCGCCGGGAGGGGCCCCAAAGGGCCCCCCCTTGGCCGCGCTCTGGAGGCCACTCTTGCCTAGGGTCACTCTTGCGCGTGGCAGAAAAAAACGTAAGATATGGGCGCTGTATTCTCTCCCAACCATCCTGTGGTGTTGGGTCCTTGGTTCGACGAGACAGCGCCCCGCGTCTCCTTCTTCTCCGTCCCCCCCTCCTCTTCTCTTTCCTCCTATTCCTCCCTTTCCTCCCTCCTTCATCACCCACCACGCGTTTCGTTGGCGAATAGGGAACTCCACCCAACGCTCCAGTGGCGCAGCTCGCATGCGCCCCCGCCACCCATTCCAACACATCCCTCACAGGCTTCGTGGCCCCATAAAGAGCTCCACCGACGGTTTCAGCGGCGCAGTTCGCGCGCGCCCCCGCCGCGCGTTTCGGCGCAACCCTCGCGAGCTTCGTGGCCCCGAGAGGAGCTTCACCGAAGGTCTCACTGGCGCAGTTCGCATGCGCCCCCGCCACATTCGGGCGCACACTTCACACGTTTCGTGGTCCCATAGGAAGCTCCACAAGAGGTTCCACTGGCGCGGCGCGCATGCGTCCCCGCCATACATGTCGGCACAGCTTCACGCGCTTCGTGGCCTCATAGGAAGCTCCACCGACGGTTCCAGCGGCGCAATTCGCATGGGGTTTCGCCCACATTTTCGGCGCAACCCTCGCGCGCGTCGTGGCCCCATACGGGCCTCCACCGAACGCCCCCGCGGCGCAGTTCGCCTGCGCCCCCGCCTCACATTTTGGCACACCCCGTACGCGCTTCGTGGCCCCAAGAGGAGCTTCTCCGAAGGTCTCACTGGCGCAGATCGCATGCGCCCCCGCCACCCATGTCGGCGCACCTATCACGCGCTTCTAGGAGCTCCACCCAAGGTCCCCGCGGCACATTTCGCATGCGTTCCCGCCACCCACGTCGGCACACTCCTCACACGTTTCGCGGGTCCATAGGGAGCTCCACCGAAGGTCTCACTTGCGCAGTTCGAATGCGCCCCCGCCGCATTTAAACACACCCTTCGCACGCTTCGTGGTCCGATAGGGAGCTCCACCGAAACATATATTCACAATTGCAGCATGTCCAACTGCATGTGGTTGAGTCCGTCGCCAGGGTAATTGTTTTTTCTTCACGACGGGCGTCTTCGCCGGACTTCCGCCTCCGGGGCCAGCGCGCATCGTTCCGGCTCGAAGAGTGCCGCAGAGGGATGGTCCGTAGCCTTTTGGCTCAAGCCGCACTGGCCCGAGCACCGCTCCCGGGCCGCCCGGGGGCGCGGCTTGAAAGACGCGCCACGCACCAGCGTTCGCATATCGTGCGGGGTTTCATTCCCCAGGCGCCGCCGCTATGCTGCTGTCCGCTGCGGATCCGACTGCCCGTCGCGACCTCGACTACCAACGCGACCGCGTCTACGGCGCCGGGCACGACCGCGGCGACTTTGCCGACCACGTCGACTACATCAACCCCGTCGACTACAGCGGCCGCATCGGCTCGCAGAAGGACCAGGACATCATCGACGAGGACCGCGCCCAGGACCAGGAAGACCATGTGGGCGAGTCGGAGGACTTCCTCCGGCCCCACCTCGGCCCCCACAACTGCGCTATCAACTACGACCGCGACCAGGTCCACTACGACCTCGACCAAGTCCACTCGACATCGAGGAGGAGATGATAGCCGACGCGCGCCTTGAGGACTTCCCCCTGGCGGTCTTCCTGGACTTCGAGGCGGCCTTCCCGAGCCTCGACCAGACCTTCCTCCAGCGCGCGCTGGCGGAGCGAGGCTTGCCCCCCTGGTTCCGGCGCTTCGCGGCCATCCTCTACGCCAGCAAATTTTGCCACATTCTACCTTGCTGGTCTACTGGCGCCGGCTTTCGCGCCACCGCGGGGGTTCGACAGGGCTGACCTCTATCCCCCCTGCTGTTTGCCATCATATCGGACGTGGTCTTGCGACGGATTCGCCGCCTCTGCCCGGATGTGGTCCTCCGTG